GAATTGAGATTGATTTAATCATAGTTACTTATTTCATCGAGTTCTCTTATGATGTATGCCAGTGGCGTAGCCAGGAATTTTTGAGTTATGGACAATTCATCAGCCGAACTATTGTGAATTACGGGCAGCTAAAGGCAACCGTTATGATTTCAAAAATATTGATGGACAATAACTGTTCAAGCACTGCATAGCTCAATAAATCCATGGGCAATAACTTTTGGAGCTATGGGCAATTGCCCAATGGCCCTACCCCTGGTCACGCCACTGATGTATGCCTTTGATTTCATTCTCATAGCAGCTTATGCGAAGCATAATGTGCCTTAGAATAATTTGGTGTTTGAAAAGGACTCAATCTGAAGTGAAACAATGATTTTTATGCTCTTCCTTCGTATGCTAAGATTTTACTTGTAGCGAGAACAGTTTCTTTTTTTAATCTGTTCATTATAAGATAAAGCTAATTAATACTTTAATAATATTTGTATCATTGAAAATATCCTTTCTTTATTCCTGATTATCATCATTCTAGGAATATGAACTAGTTTAAAAAGTTGAAACACTCCATATGAATAAGTTTTGATCGTACGTACCTCTATGTAATGAAACAGTCCAATTAAATCAATGTCTTCGTTTTTGTCAACGAATTCTTCCAAACGAATGGCAGCATATTTAATTCACCTTATTTATAATAAAAATTAAAGAAACCTTATCAAAGTCACAAAAGAGAATAGTCAGGACGCCTCTCAAATGTTTGCGACGCCGATTTCTTCTGTTTTATTTTTCTATCAAGCCAACCTTATCGCAAGCCATGGTGAATACTGTGGTGAAGACACTTTACAACAATACCAATATTGAAATAGTGGAAAAAATCAGTTTTTTTTTGCGCCATTGCAACAAAGTTCAGTTCATAGCAGAAAGTTTGTTTCTTATCATACACAAGTAACACTATTGTAATTTTCTGCTAGACGATTTCGTCTAGCTCATTTCAGAGCAAGCATTGAAAGAGTATAGAATATAACTCAAGCAGACATGAACTTATCGTAACGCGTAAAACTGAGTGCTTTTTAAGCTAAAACAACAATGCAAAAACAATTTTTTTTTTTGAAAAAAAAACAAGTTTGTGAGGCATCATCGTCTTCAAATTCGCTGTTTTTTTCAAAAGAAAAGGTTTTAAAACTGCAACAATCGAACATTTTAACGCTTTGAAGTACGAAGTTCTATCGATTTTTTTTCGCTCCGTATATAAATCCATGAATCGTGGACGTGAGAATAGATGTTAGATGTAAATGAGAATAAATGAGGGTATGCGTAAACGTTTGGAGAAAATACCGTCATATCCATCCTACACCATATACCCTCGACTCTGTCGGGATAGCTATCCATGGATGGGGATGGGGTGTGGATATCGATGTGAGTAGCTGGTTGGGTGGAAGGAAAATACTCACTCATATAGTATTCACAAGCAAATATACCCAATTTCTAGCCCAGGCGGCAACGTATGTTTTTTCAGAAAGGTACTTCGTAAAGTCGTTTTGTAATTATCCGAACAAAAATGAAGAACCTTCGATTGGACGCTGTTAAATGCAGATTTCTTCAACGTCTCTTGAGATCTGAAAATTTTCAAATCGAGAAAATGAATTTTAGAGTGTCAAGTAGAAGGTAGCCTTTGAGCCAATATGAGTGCGGGTGTATATGTTAGTGAAGAGAACACTCACCACATCACCGTCACCTTCAGATTGGTTATCTATTTGATATTAGCTATGTGTTGATCACATCTTAGATTGTAAAGTAATAAGGCTTTTTCTGTTTCAGACCTTGTGATTTTAAATTGCAAGAACAAAAACAACGATGAGTGCCATATGCCAAGGCCACTTTCATTGGTAACAAACAGCAAAACAGAGCAGCTAATGAGTTTCACCTATTAAATCTTGATTGATTGAACTTCGACTCATTTGATCAATGTAGTCGAATATCATATTGTCAGTTTTACAGAGATCGAAAACAATTTACGGTTAGACTATTGGTCCTGGTCTAGCAGACACCTTTTAACTGTGATTATGATGAAAGAGAAAAATCCAACATAATCAAAATATTGATTATTTATTATTTAGATACTCACATGTCGGCATTAACTACAGTGTCGTATTGAATATTTACGCATTGGACGATGTAGTCTTATTACAATATAAATGGGTGACATGAACAATTCGAAGGAGCGATCAGTTCCTATAGTTTTCCCATTTTGTTGGAGGTAGCAATGATTATTCCTTGTAGTACTGTTGTGCTGCACAGGCCTACTTTGACTGAAAACGCCAACTCGCAAAATTTGAGATCAAACATTTGAATTCGATAAAAAGACTTTTCCCGATGCAAAAATCAAGTTCACAAAATTTCTCAAACTAGTTACTCATTGATGTTACTGGTCAATAACAATAATTTTCCATCCTTAACCTACTCTCGATTTTCGATGATAAATAGATTGAATTGAATAAAGCAAATAATTGAGCACTTCTTTCAAATGTAATCAATAAAATGCGGGCTAGTACGCAGTGGGGAGCCAAGCGGACATATGCGAAAATATTTTTTTCCAGAATCTAACCGTTTGCGTAGATACATGCATATGTGATCTGTTATTTCCTACAATAACGGTTCTCAAAGTTTTATAGAGCTCAAGAAAAGAGCTTGTCAAAGCTTGGACCCAGAAATCAGCATAAATAAAGAAAATCAAGCCGCTCGGTAATATAACGCAATATTCCACAAGCAAATAATATTCCAAAAACCTTGCTCACCTATGGACATTATGATAAAAAGAAATTATCATAATCCAATTTAAAATAGAGTAGAAATCAAGGAGTCTCTATGCCGAAAATCTACCCGTAAATCTACCGTTCCGTATATTGAAAACCCTACAAAGAGATCATGTCTGATCAAGCGCACATTTTTGCCACATACACATACATATGTATTCTAATTACTGTAATAGCGGCAACTCATGAAACTTTTCTAGGCTATTTTAGAGAGTGCCCAAAAATCTGAGGGCTCCAGGCGAAAATTCGGTTTTAGACATCTGTCCTAGACTTTGAAGGGATACTAAATTGATATTCGGAATCAGCTCATCGAGCTACATCAAACCATATATCTACAATAGTTTTTAAGAAAATTTTTGACCCATTTTTCAAAGCAGATCCACGCCCTCAATCCTGCCGTTTTGGACTTTGAAAACCCTACGAAAAGATAACGTCCAATTGAGCTGAAATTTTTAGCAGATACTTCTGGATATGTATCCTAATTATGGTAGTCGCGCCAACTTGTGAAACTTTTCCTAGGCTACTCTACAGAATTCCCAAAAACCCACAGTTTTTGGTCAAAAATCCGACTTTAGGCTTCCATACTACATGTTGAAGAAAAACTAAGGTGATATTCGGAATAGTTCGTCGAGCTGCATCAGACTATATATAAAAAGAGTCATTTTTGTGAACGTCAATTTTTAGTGGAATTTGGCGGAAAACGACTAATACAGGTTTTTGACCGAAAAATCCAGTTTTAGGCATTCATATTACATTTTGAAGAAATACTAAGGTGATATTAGGAATCAGCGCATCAAACTACGTCGAATGATATGTAACTCAACATATTTCCCAAAAAAAAAAAAAAATTTCGAAAAAAAGGCTGATGTTCCCCCGCCATATTTTTTCTTAAAAAACCTTTAATTTTCTTTAAAATGATTTTTTGAAGGGTATACTGTTATTTCTAGTCAAATGATAATCATTCCTAAGCAAAAACAACCGCATGTCCGCCTGCTTATGCGAAAGCTCCTCACTGTGTGGAGTGCATATGCATATATATGATCATGTGACATTAGATGATATTTATTCGCTATGTTGATTCTATTCTATATATTTATAATAATCGAGACCAATTATAATCACCAAGGAAAATGATATTCTTTTACGATGCATTTTTGTCGAAATTCTTGTTATTGGAAATCAATCTAGATTTGAAACAGTATATATTAAATATAGATGTGATAAAATCTTATCGAAATTAACATCAATGCACAGCAGACATAATTAACTGAAACAGAAAGTTGTTTACAATTTCATCTTCAAAAAAGTATTCAATTGAAAGAAAAGCTCTAAATTATTTTGTTGCCTTGTTCATGAAATTGATTGTCGATATTTCCAGATTCACAAATATTCAGTCTGAGTATTTGTTTGCAATATTACTGAGTAAATACTAATCAAGTTGTTTTTGTCACATGGTCTGAATTTTTAAAAAAAATTCAAACAGTTGTTTAATCATTTTTGAGTGATTGAAAGTTGCTTTATGTGACTGTATGGTTTTTATTTCGGAATAAATGAAAAATCAAAATCACTCTTTACGACATTTTTTATGTATTTATTCATTCAGGGCTGGCCCGAGTCAGCAAACATTGGGGAGTTGTCGCGATTTTTTTGGGGGGTTGTTCCGGATTTTGCAATGCGAATAAAACTTTTTTCTAGCACTATTCAAGAAAAAAAAATCGTTTTCGCTGGGGGGGGGGGGAAAACGAAAATTTTCGATTATTGGGGGGTTGTCACAATCCCCAAAACCCCCTATCGGGCCAGCCCGGTATTCATTCTAATATGTATAGAGTATCACTGAAAATTGATTACGTTAGTATGACGAAGGATCAATAGTTTGAGAGATGTCGCTCTCATACAAGCTTCTTTTAACAATTATGATTATCATTTATGTGAACTCTTCTTGATTTTATTTAAAAAAATTTTCTCTGCTTGAAATCTGCTTTTATTTTAAGAAAAATTCTTGTTAATAAAATCAGTTTTTTATCCAATGATCTTATCTTTTCTACGATGGCCTCATGACATTCAATTAAAAATGGATGAAATAGATTATTGGCTACTAGTTTCATATGCATATCATTTGTTTGTTAAACCATTATTATCAGATATTTTTTTTTTATATATTTTTATATTAGATCATAAAATTTCCTCGTCGGAACAATGACGAAGGGTACACAATCATTCGGCAAACGTAATTGCAAGACCCATACATTATGCCGCCGATGTGGTCGTTCATCATATCATTTGCAACGACAACGTTGTGCTGCTTGTGGATTTCCATCAGCTAAAACACGTAAATATCAATGGAGTGAAAAAGCTCGTCGACGAAAAACAACAGGCACCGGTCGTATGAGACATTTAAAAGTGGTTTTTCGTCGATTTCGAAATGGTTTTCGTGAAGGAACTCTAGCCAAATCACGTAAAGGACAACGACAAGCTGCTGGTGCAACAACAACAACAACTGCACCAGCTACAACAAACAAATAATGAACGAATATAATGGATTGTTTTGTTGTAAACCATTCGGTAACACTACCACTTATATAAGAAGAAATTAAAATAAAAACAAAAAAAGATCGTTTGTTTATTAGTTTGTTTTTTTTTTTTATTTTTCAACAAATATTTGTGCTTCAATGATTTAAATTATTGTTGACTGAAAAATCCCTGTGGATTAAAAATAAGTTATTTTGAATTTCTTCAAATGAGAAGCACATAATAGAGTTCGATTATAGTTCTTCGAAAGAAAACTCATCTTAGTTAGGTTTGCTTCAATCTAATATAAAAAAGTATTTTTCGAAAACTCCAAAAAAAAATATAGTGTACATCAAAATTTTCACAACACTAGTTTTATTCGACTATATGCTTGTAAAGTAGAGCTCGAGTACTATACCTACATATACCTATTCATTAGGATAAAACCTTGAATACGAAATACAATTAAGAAAAACAAAGTTCAATGGTCAAAAAAAAATAAGATATTATTGTTATTAAGTAATATGTTGTAGAGGAAGTTGAAATGCATAGAATATATATAGGAACCTTATTTTCATAAGACTTTGAAGAAACTAAAGTCAATTTACTGATAAACGATTATGCACTCAAAGTATGATCAATTAGTGATTATTTTAGTCCATGCTATCAGTTGAAAGTGCTTGTTGAACTTTTCATTTACTGTAAGCTCATATATATAACATCTTCACTAGGAAAAAAATACGATTGTTCGGTGGTTTACCACAGTTTTTCATTAACCTTGAGTCCCCGTGTCGACCATAGTAGAAGAATATGATCAGACGTCAAACTATTACATAAACCACACACGATGTATTACTACAAAACACACTATCTAGAAGTGCGAGTGTACGTATGGATATAATTGTAAGTGGAGTTGAACGGAAAATTCACACACTCTCCCTTCTGCATAGATGACCTAACCCGATAGGATCCTTTATAATAATAATATCCTTTTTTTTAACATTGAAGTTATTCTTACTGTATTTCATGTTCGAGGGTTTACCGTATTAAATAAGTGTGTATATATATTCTATTCGTTGTCAACTATACAGGCATATAGTCGAATTGAATTAATGTTGCGTAGTTTCAATACATAAGTCAAAATAGACTTTTGCACTATGCTGTTGTTAAATGAAAAATTTTCATTTTTAAAATATTCCTTTGTTTTTTTTTTTAATATCAATCCTACTCATGAACAGTTTTTCATTAAAATACGCAACAAGGATGAATATCTTTTAGTTTCGTTCGTATGACAAAGAAATGATTAATAAAATAATTCATTGACGTTCTGAGTTGCGTTGTTTTTCTTTTTCAAATATTTTTCTCAATTGACTTCTCATGGATATAAATTTTTCATCAAGAGAGAAATATTTTCTCTCAGGCCATTATTTTCATTGTTTATTTAATAATCATTGAAGCCAATATTCTATGACCTAGATTCGATCATTTAATTTTATCATATTTAACTATTCAACTAAAATCTTTCAGATGGATAACGTTATTAATTCGTTAAAAAGCACTGCATTAAGTATTGGTGAAATTATGACACCTGTACTAATGCAATCGAAATTTCGTGAAACAGGTGTTATAACTCCTACAGAATTTGTAGCTGCTGGTGATTTTCTTGTTCATCATTGTCCAACATGGAAATGGGCTACAGGTGATGAAAGTAAATTAAAACCTTATTTACCAAAAGAAAAACAATTTTTAATAACACGTAATGTTCCTTGTTATAAACGATGTAAACAAATGGAACATAAAGATAATTTGGAAAAAATTGTTGATGATGAAAATGGTGATGGTGGTTGGGTTGATACACATCATTATGCTGATAGTACAATAACAGAAGTACGAGAACATGCTGGACAAATTGAATCAAGTGGTAAACAAACACAAGTTACTGTTGAAGATGATGATGATGGTGATGATGACGATGATGCTGCTGATATGGAAGAATTTGAACGTACAGGAATGATTAATAATGATCCATTAGAAGCATCGAGTAAATTTTTATTTTTATCTATTATAAATAAAATAATTTGACTCTTATATATTTTCAGCAACTACAAAACCTTCCGCAAGTGCATTAAAAACTGATGAAAATGCTGGACCAAATACATTGGCAACTCGTACATATGAGTAAGATTGAGCTTTGAAATTATTTTATGAAACACAATTTAAAAAGGAGTATTGAATTATAGTGATAAAAAATTAGATCCATAACAGATGCTAGTCAGATCAGAATTGTAACTGGTTCAAACCAGCTAGTTTACTGAGTTACTATTAATCGTTTAATGGGAATGGCTTCAAAAAAAAAACGCATAAATTTTCTTTTTCGCATTCAGATTTTTACCAATTTCTAAAAAGGAAATATTATACTATAGTTCTGTTTATATCTATTAAGTTTCTCAACGATGAATACATGATATTTTCATATATAGCACGACAAAAAGAAGTTATCTATGCATTAAATGATTGTTAAATTTCAAATCGTAAATTTTTCTATGTAGACCAATGCAACAATTTTGTTTCGTTTCGAAGGACAATTCATATCTAAATTAGTATTTTACATTTTAATTTCACGAAGATTGTGTGTTAACAGCTTTTTCTTATATGTTTTCTTTCTATTTCTATTAGTCTTAATATAACTTATGACAAATACTATCAAACACCACGTCTTTGGCTAACTGGTTATGATGAACATCATAAACCTTTATCAGTTGAAAAAATGTATGAAGATATAAGTCAAGATCATGCAAAAAAGACCGTAACAATGGAACAACATCCGCATTTACCTGGAACAGGACCTATGCCTAGCATACATCCATGTCGTCATGCTGATGTAATGAAAAAACTTATTCAAATGGTAGCAGAATCTGGCAAAGAACTTGAAGTTCATATGTATATTATGATTTTTCTTAAATTTGTTCAAGCAGTCATTCCAACAATCGATTATGATTATACACGTCAGTTTAATTTATAAACAAGTCAATTTATGAAACAGTACAATAATCAATTATCTAGTTCGATTTTTCTCTTTTGTTCGATTTGGCGATGATTTTTAAAAAAATTTTTTTTGATTTGTTATTGATAAACCAGACAAAAAAAAAAAACGTTCATAGATTTTTTTTTTTTTCTCTTATTCTATTTTATTCAATAAAGTCCTGTACAGTCCAAGTACTTTAGTATGTATGTATCCTCTAAGATGATGTAAAGATGAAAAATAAAGAACAAAAAAAAAAAAGAAAAGATCATAGCGATTATTATTGACCTACTGTCCGTTATGAATAGGCGAAAAAAATGAAATTTGAAGATATGGTAACAGAACATAACGTTCGTTTACTTTAGTTTTTCTTCTTTCATTCGGACAAGTTTATATTTTCATTTATTGTATAATCGATATGTTGTACATCGTATTGCTCGTTCTTTCTATACAATTATCGATACAAACTGAAGTTGAATATAAGCATTTAGGTTAGATTTAAAAAACTGGCCTAAACTATTTCATTATGATTCAATTTATATTTTATTAAACAGGTCGACCATGTCATGTTAATCATTGTGATAATGAACATGTTTGTATCCGTCGAAAAGATGTTGCTTTTCGATATCGTTGTATACCGAAAAATTATTTTAAACAACAGTAAGATTATATTAGACTAGTTTGATTATAGATGATTTGATTTTATCAAATTGTAGAAAATATTTTTCTAATAATACACCTTAAAAACAACAAGAAATAAAAGTGAATTTTATTGTCAAATTAAAATTTTATTTTTACTAAAATGATCAGTTCAAATAGCACCATAGAATTCGATTGAGGAAATTTCTCGAGAATGTCTAATTACTCACTGTATGCTATAGTGTGATCGATCAGTCCATAACATCATCGAAAATTTATTAAAAGAAAATTTTGTTCGAATACAAAAACTAATAAAAATCCTTTTACAATATTAATTTATTAATGAGATCGTATTTTTTATGATCAACATTGTATTAAATTGTTGACAAGTATCATTTATAAAATTAATTCTAATAGAATTATTTTAAATAGAAAAATTTGGAATCTATTCAATTTATCATGATCAATAAGATTATTTTAATATATTTTTCTAGTCTAGACAAAATTACTGAATGGAATTTAAATCCATTATTAATCGATGAAATAGTTGATGCTACAAAATGTCAATCATGTTTAAGTGAACCATTAACTTATGTTTGGTACATAAAGGATAACCTATTTTGTTCATATATATTTAATTTTGGCATCTATTTATTTAGTGGAACTGATGGACGTGTTTATCGATCACCTTGTTTTGTCAAATATTTTAATTGTCTCTTAGATATAGATATACAAATTGCATGTTATAAAGAATGTCCATGCAATGATACAAGTAGAAAGAAAATATTTGAAATAATGCTTTTAAATATATTCATGTTATAGGTTCAGATGAAGAAAATTTTGAAGGGATGGTATGTAGGATAAATTTATTTTTTTTTTTCATCTTGTTTGAATAAATTATAAATTATATATTATACAGGATTTCAATATTGAAGAAAATATTACTAAGTAGAAGATATTTTATAAATAATATTAAATATATTTTTAACTATTGTTTTTTTAGTGATCCATTAGCTGATGATAGTCCAAATGATCCAAGAGGCCGTAAGAATAATCGATTTTGTTTTGTTTTTGATCATTGTTACAACTGTAAAGATTAGAAAAAGCAATCGATTTAAATAATATTTGTTGAATCTTTTCTTTCATATTTATTATATTCAATTTTCAAATCAATTCAATATAAGAGAGTGATCAATTGATTATTATTAGAGTATTTTATTGTTAGTAAATTATCATACGTATGACTTTGTTGATATAAAATATATAGAAAATAATGTTATTTGTTATTCATGATTACAAATTCAAATCACTTTTGTTTTTCATTTAGAATTTGATCAATGTTCACGATCACTTC